AATAAATAAATAAAAATACAAAATAAAAAAATCTTTCTGGCTCCCTGTTGCCTTCGGAATGAAGTTCAGAGTTTGGTGATAATACATGGATTAATATTCTGGCTCTAAAGCACCTCTCCTGTCTCAGAGCCCTTGCAATGTAAACTCCCAATTTCTCAGGCTCTTTCGAATGTCCATGTAACATGCTGGTCAGACCTTTCCACCTCTTCACCTGGTAAGGTTATATTTACACTGTATAACTCAGGCTAAACATCATCCTCATCAGTATGGTACCAAGTATTTATATATCATTCACATCTCCATTTCATCTGGTTTTAAACCAGAAACCTAGAAGCTAGCCATGACTTCTACAGTCATATCTCCTCATCCCCCCATCTACTTACTCAACCACCAAATCCCAGCCACTCTTCTTTTCCATAAAACTTTCATCTATACTCTCTATATCCCCACTCCAGTGTCCCCCCCCTCCCTCCCTCCTCTCCCTCCCTCCAACAGGTCTCCATATTCCATCTCTTTCCATTTATTTTCCAAACAGAAGCCAGAATGAACCTTTTAAAACACAAAGCTGATCATATTCTTCCAAGGGGTGAAGAAAACACCTTTCAATGGCTTCCCACTGTTCTTAAAGACAAAAATGATTATTTAGCTGATAAAGCCCTGCCAACTTCTTCATTATGGTTCTCTGGGTCTCTGTTAATACTGTTTTTTCTGGCCATACTAGCCTTTCAGCTCCTGAAACTCACTGAGTTCCTACACCTGTTCCCTGCAGCTGCACCCCCTTCACTTCATTAACACTTCACACCCAAATTCAAATGTTGTTTCTTCAGGAAATAACCACTGACCAGCAAGCTGACCCAGTATTAAGATACTCTGATTCTTGGGCCAGGGATTGAGCTCATTGGTTCCACTACCTGCCTCACAAGTGCAAGGTCCTGAGTTCAATCCCTGGTACCAAAAAGAAAGATACTCTGATTCTTCATAGCACTTGTGGGCATTCCCAGTCATGTGTATGGTTCCAATTTTAGTATATGTGCTGCCGAAGCAAGCACTCCAGTCATGTGTTTGTACGTCATTGAGTGATGATATCATCATGGATCACCACCCACCTTTGACTGCTCCCTGATGAAGGTGATTATGCCTGTTTTATGCACCAGTCAAACTGAGGATCTGGCACTCAAATATTTACTGAATAAACAAATGAAAACCTTCATAATTTGACCTTCTCTGGGCACTGAGCAAAATCTAAGCCTTCAAAGGAAGAGTAAATTTGGCCAGCTTCTCTGCAAATAACTTTACCAATTCCAAGTACTCTTCTACCAACTTCTAAAACCATAGAGAGTAGCTCCCTGATTCCTAATCTTATAACGCCATGAGTTATCCCTTTACTTCAAATATTTCAATTGATACACTTTTTTTTTTAATGAGAAAAACATAAGTTATTTTGGTTCTAAATATAAGCCAGTTCTTTAGATATATATTGCTTGGCCTACTACTGAACATCTAGGGTTAAATATTCTTCCATACAATTAGAAATTTGCCATATGTGGAAAAGCAGAGCCTAAGGCATTCTGTTTCTTTGTATTCAAATTAAGCTCAGCAAAATTAGGTTAATTCACTAATGGTACAAAAACTGGACAGTATTTTTTAAAATATTAACACCAATCAACTTTATTAACATGATCGTTACATTTTCTAATCTTTTAGTTCCTAGAGGAATATATACCAATTTCTTAAATTAGTTAAAAGTAAACTTTCTTTAATAAATATATACCCCTAAGACCCAAAAAAGACCAAAAATTGGGCCGGGGATTTAGCTCAGTGGTTCTGCCGCCTGCCTCATAAGCACAAGGTCCTGAGTTCAATTCCTGGTTCCAAAAACAAAAACAAAAGACCAAAAATTGTCGGATAAAAGATTTATCCAAAATATTTTTAAAAGCTTTCCTATTAATCCAGGTATTATGGACTTCCCCTCTCATTTAAAGGACAAGGGGTACACTTGTGCAAGTGAAAATAAACTATGCCAAAAAGGACACATGAACACATCCTTTAAGGATCTATGGGGTAGCCCACAAAAATACCTTTTCTAAAAACACATATCCTTGGGAGAACGGATTTAGCTCAGTGGTGCTGCCACCTGCCTCACAAGCGCAGTCCTGAGTTTGATCCCCAGTACCAAAAAAATAATCCTTGAATAAAAAAATACATGTATTAGTCTTATCAGTGCATATATTATAATATACAACTTTATTTGCTTTTCTTCTGTCTTCTTATATTTGGATACACCAATTAATAAGTATTAGCATCTACAACACTGAAGGCAATTTCTGACTATCTAAAACAAATGAAAGATAAATAAGAATTTTTGTACTTTTTTCAACTTTTCTATAAGTTTTAAATGATCACGAAATGAACATTTAAAGCATTTTTAAGTTTTCTAAAATTAAAACATTTTTAAATGTTTTTAATTTAAAAAGAGTCTCCTAGGAGTTGAGGATGTAGCTTAGGGATCAAGCAGTTGCCTAGCACATGCAAGGCTCTGGGTTTAACTGGGTTCAATCCCCAGCTCTAGGGAAAAAAAGAAAAAATTTTCTTAATCTTTGAATATTTTAAAAGATTATGACTGAAGGAGTCCGACCACCACCATTCTAGGCTGACCAGAGAGCATTTTAAGCCTCTTTCATCCTGCTATGCTTTTATACCTGCTAAAGATGTATAATCATGGGTTAATAAGGCCTATTAAGCATAGCTACACCTCATAACTCCCATCATTCCTCATCCCTGCTCTTGACAAACAACCACCACTGCCTCTACTTTGTCAAGCCTTGTCCCTGGAAGGTAACCACAACTCCTTTTCACTGAACTCTCCCCCCTGGAAAGCCTCATTTTGACCTTTTCCTTTCCAACCTCCCTTTGTACTCATGACCTCACCTCACAGGCTATCCCAGAGTTACGAGTCTGGTCTAAGTCCAAGGGTAGTCCTTCTCAGGTTTGTTCTGAAATAAATCTGTCCTGTTGAGCTCATTTTTTTTTTTCTAACAATGACAGTTTACAGATTAGTTTTAAATCTGAGTCTAACAGAGACCAGAATTCAATCCAAAGTTTCTGGCCACAAGGTTATTTTTATAACCTTCTCTTCCTACCTGACATGCTCAATTGCAAGTGCTGTCTGGTCAAACACTCCAGAATCATCAAACACAACCCACAACTCCTGCAGGGGTAACTGGTATTCCTTCAGTTCAAGGAGCTCTTTCATACATTCCAAGGTGAATGTGTTCACTTCAGATTCACAAGCATATGGTTCAGCAAGTCTCACCACTGCCTTCAAGGCTGAAAAGTCCACATCTGTTATCTGAAATTTAAAATAATGTGACTCCACTTAATACACAGAAATCAAAATTAAGAAACATATATAAAACACTACTGTATAGCCTAATTTTTCTTAAGCATGAAATGGGGGCAGGAAGCCTTTTTCCATAATATAAAGGATAAATAAGACAGGCCTGGCTCTTACCCTGTTGCCACTTATAACTAGGAAAAAAAATAAGATGATGGTGAGTATGTAATAGAGAATAACTAGCAGGTGTGGTGATCTGGGTTTGCTAGTAGGCCAGGGGAATTCACCTGAGCTGAGAATAATGAAAAGGAAGCAGTCGTGTAAGAGCAAAGGTACAAAGGTCCCTGCGGCAGAGACAAACTTTAACAGCTGGAGAAACAAAAAAGTAGTGCTTCTTACTGGTTCCAAAGGGAATCTCCAGAGGGACAGACAGGGACAGAGCAAGAGATGAAGAGGGAGAGGCACGGAGATCAGGACGTGAAGAACATGAGAAGGTAAGATCATGATACACAGTATATTAACTATTGTTATTCTCTAATTATTTTGTTATGAAACTATTTTTTTCATAGAAGATTGTTTTTATATATATATATATGTTTTGTTTTGTTTTGTTTTTCTTTTGTACCAGGGATCGAACTCGAGACCTTGTGCTTGCAAGGCAGGCGCCGGCACCACTGAGCTAAATCCCCAGCTTTATATATATAAATATATTTTTTGGTAGCAGGAATTGAATTCAGGACCTTGTGCTGTGAGGTAGGCGTGGTGCCACTAAGCTAAATCCCCAGCCCCTATATTTTCTTTATTAATATCTACTTGTATTACATTAAAATGGATCTCAGGATCTCAGCTTTTACCTGTTCTCTAGCACAGTGAGAAACCAAAGCCAGCACTAGGCCCTTCATAAATGCAACCTATTAGAGGTTTTAAGAGAGAAATGACATACTACTCTTTCAAAACAATGACTTTAATTGCTTTTAGAAAATTAAGACTATGGAAAAGAGGGGCACTAATCATAACCAAATTAACAGGGCCAGGGATTTAGCTCAGTGGTTCCGCCGCCTGTCCTGCAAGTTCAAGGACCTGAGTTCGATCCCCAGTACCAAAAAAAACCAAAAAAACAAATAAACAAATTAACAAATCCAAACTAAAGATATTACCATAATCCAAAACTGAAAAATTCACAAGGAACAGCTGTAAACCACTGCTTTGTACATAAGCACTGCAGTATGTAATTTTTTCTAAAGGAGCTACAGCAACAATTTATATTCCCATTCCCCGGTTTAACTTTTAGTTTAATAAGGCTTTTTGGGTCTAGTTAACAACACTGAGAAAAATCCACAGCTATAATTAAGAGTGCAAATTTTTAAGGCCTAGTCAGTTGAAAAGTAAAGATTGTTTATACTTTCTGCCATGGGACATATTATCAGATTGATCACATACCTACAGGCTTATTGGATTTTAAAAATGGACTCATTTTTAAATGCCTATTTGGTTTGAGCTATTTAATAGATAAAAACTGGAAACTCCACTGACTCCATAATTAGGCCTCCTTTTGTGCGTAGGGTACTGAGAATTGAACCTAGGGCTTTCACACTGACCTACATCTCCAACCCTTTTTTACTTTGAAACAGTCACTAAAGTTACTAAATTGCCCAGACTGGGCTTAAATTTGCAATCCTCATGCCTCAGCCTCCCAGAGCTGGGGTTACAGCCATCCATCACTGGAACCAGCTTAGGCCTCCTTATTTTTTAAATGGTCTCAAATACTTCCTTCACCTCAAGTTTATAATCCATCTTCCTTGCCAAAGGATGCTGAAACTTAAACCACCTTAATTTCCTTGTTGCTCCACCTCAGATGCCTTTAAATTTTTCAGAACATTTCATACAATGTGGCAATGTGAGGGGGAAAACATGCCATTTTAATCAGCTCATAAACTTTACAAATAAGTACTTTGGCTATAAAAGTCTGAAATAATTATAGCTAGACACAAATATCTTAATTAAAACAATTAAATTTACCTCAACCAACACCTCAAATACATTAGTGTGCCAGATTGCCTGCCATCCAGATGGTTCAAGGACCTTCTCTAAGAACTCAGCTGTGAATTCTCTTACTTCTGAGGCCTTGCAGTCAGCTGCAAACAAATTAAACACAATAACAATTGAGAATCCATAAAGCAGAGAAGTTAATAAACTATTTAAATCCATTTTCTCAAAACCAACAACTAGAAAAGTCTGAGGGACTAAGAATCTACTTGCAAAGTAAAAAGATAAAAGAAACAAATAAAAAAAGAACCTACTTACCTAACATGTAATCTTGATAGGCTCTAAATCGTTCATAGAACAAAAGTTGACTTGTTTGGAAAATTTCTGGGAAGGGAGACTTTCCTTCCGGCACAAAACTCTGTAAGCTACTGCCTGGCTTATCATGAGAGCTACAATCACTTGATGAATCTTCAACTTGGAACAAACCTAAAGTACAACAAAAACATCAAATATTTCCAGTGTTTATAGAATGCTTCTATTTTCACATCCTTGTTTACAAATTCCAAACAAACTACAAACAAGTATTGTCAGAAAAACTAGTTTTCAAAATTTTAAAAATACAGGCCATGCTGGGGATTCAGCTCAGTGGCACCACACCTGCCTTGCAAGCACAAGGTCCTGAGTTGGATCCCCAGTACCAAAAAAAAAAAAAATACAGGCCAGGCATGGTGGCACTTGACTGTAATTCCAGCACTCAGGAGCCTGGGACAGGAGGACTGCTGGGAATTCAAGGCCTGCCTGAACTACATAATAAGACCCTGTCTCAAAAAACAAACAGGGCTAGGGATTTAGCTCAGTGGTGCTGCCACCAGCCTCTCAAACTCAAGGTCCTGAGGTCTATCCCCCGTACCCGCCCCCCAAAAAAAGACAAAAAACCCACAACTTAAAAATACCACTAAAGCCAAATTCAACTTCAAACAGTAAGAGCTTAAGATTTTCACCAGTTTTTTGTTGTTCTGTGAGGTTTGTGGGGGGGAAAGCAGAAGAGGATTATTTTTTAGAAAGTTTTCCTTCAAAGGATACACTTACACCTTTTATTCTTACTACTGTTAGTAAGTTATAATGAATGGTCAAACATCTTGGGTTTTTTCCCCAAAACAATTCCATCAAGCTACATTAAAAGAGGGAGCTGATTTCCTATATTTCCTCTCACATGAGTGGACACCTCCTCTTACTACTGTATGAGTCTGTCAATGACTCCTCAATTAAATAAGGATACGAGATTATTAACAATGCACAAAGTTTATCACTAAAGCTACTAGGTTACTCATCACTAATCTCTGTGGCTTCATTTAAGGGAAGAAAAATCAAAAGTGCAAAATCATCATAGGTTTGGGTTGTATGTAATTATGTTTCATAAGGGATGACTTGGCCTTTGTGTAAAAAGATGTTTTTTAATAGACAAAATGACTACTAATAAAGATGTCAAGGGTAGCATTTAGACTGACAGAGTAGTTTCCAAAGGTGGTTTCAGGGAAGGTATATGAGACTGTTGTTCCCAGCAGCCTTTCTCTCCCTGGCCCCCTTAGTTTTTCCTTCCAGTTCTTTGCCTCTCTTCAGGCCACTGAATTACTTGACCCCACAGATGACCAAAGTACTCTCAAGGATCTACTGCTCACAAACACCAATGAACATAACCCTTAGAGGACTGCAAAAAGGAAAAAAAAATGCATAAAACA